TTCGTGACTTGCGGTCTGCGCAAGTCACGAACATACATTTTTTCTAGACTTGTGTTATAAATATGCTACCACAATTTTTTTTCTGTTTATGTCTGGTTGTACATATAACAAAGGCAAATGAACTAACGCTTGCTATAATGATGGGGCTTGAGAGCAAAATTTAAGTAATGCCGAATGGAAGTTCCATAAGATAAACAAAAGCAAAGGGTTGTTTGTTTGTCGTTGTTACGTTTCCGAGATCGAAAGGGAATGTTTCGAGTAATGTTTCAAACTCTCTTCAATAGGAATGTTTCGGCTATGTTTCACTAAGTAAGTTTTCAAGTGCTACATTTCTGTAATGAAACAGCAACGTTTCTAGTTATTGTTTCAAATGTGTAGTAAAACAGCTCATTTGCAACGTTTCATTTACGTTTCGTGTTTAGTGGGAGTGATGTAAATTTTTAGGACTTTTAAATCCAATATTAATTTTTTCTTCAAATAATAAAGAAACTGTTAGATATAAAAAAAAACGTTTGTTTCATTTAATACATTTTTTGAATTTCAATCAGCTTTTGAATAAATTATAATATGAGTATATATAAATTGCCCTTCGGTTTCACTCTATATTCCTCGAGTACTTACGTATCATATTGCGATTTGTCATTGTCGTTTGTCTATAATACCTATAATAATTGTAGTAGTGGTTTAGGCAAGTTTTTATTGTTTAATAGTTTGGAGTAAAACAAAATGGCAAGTGAAATTCGCGAATTGGTGAGTAGCAATGTTAATGTATTGTTAATGTTTTTATTAGATAGAATTTAGTACGTTGACTTTCGATGGTAAATTATTTATTTCAAAATTAAAACCTACGCCTGATTTGAAAAATTTTACAAATAAAAACAATTGCGGAAGTAGGTAACGGATCATTTAGTAAAAATTGGTACAATAAATATCTTGGATATTCAGATCTGAAACATAATGAATCCTTAAAAAAAAAGGAGCGATCGAATTAGCATACATATTCATCATTAAAATTTAAATTATTAGGGAAAAAAACATTCAAACTTTTCTTGATTCCGCATTTCGTGAGCATATTTTAAAACATAATAAAGTCGTGGACGAAAATAGACATTGTAAAGCACTTTATTGATATGATTATTTATTTAGCTACACAAGAATAAGATTTAATGATCATAATGAATCAGACAATTCCATTAATCAAGGCAATTTTCGTGAGCTTGCAAACTTACTTTCAAGGTACGATAATAAATTTAAAGTGTTTTTAGAAAAAAGTAGTTTTTAGCAGCCTTTCAAAAACTATTCAAAATGATTTAATAGAGAGCATCAATGGAGTAGCATCCGAAGTGATATTTTCAGAAATAAGAAATGCTCTATATTTCGCGGGCAAGTACCCAAATGAAACAACGGATGTTAAATGCTTATCTCAGTTATTAGTAGTTTTTAGATATGTTCATTGTGGTAAAGTAGTTGAAAGATTTATGGGATTTTTTTATGTAAGCAAGGGGAAAAAAGCTGTGGATCATTTGTTAACAGAAAATTTAAAAAATTTTGATATAGAAAATAAATTAGTAGGCCAGTAGAGTGCAATTATTCCTATATGATATTAAGTTACATGAGAGAAAAAATATTTTGCCCACCCATCTCAAAAAGCCACGAGCCGCCACTGGTAGTAACACAACTCTAAAAACTCAATTATCTGTAACTGATAAGTGCAGTAGAAAAATTCAATCCATTTTTTCTGAAACAATCCATTTTAACATCCAGCAGGTATATATTTTTTACAATAAATAAAGAAGAGTTTCATAAAATATGTTATCTAAAAATTTTTACCATCCAATAAATGGCAATTAAAAAAAATATATTCTTAGTAAGCTCTATGCCTTAGGTAAGAAATAGTCTGATATTCATTTTCGGAGACTGCAAAAACTTTCATATAGTGAATTTCCTTGAAATATTACATTAGAATGTAATGTTGAATTGTATTATTATTACATTACTGTTGAATAATGTTGAATATTACACTAGAAAATATAAACTATTAAGCACTAAGCTCTTAAGTATGTATAGCAGTACCGGATTAAGAGTTTCGTAAGCCCCAAGCATACAAGTCATGTATGCCCTCTGTTGCTTGGATTTGGATGGTAGAAAATAACACAAAGTAAAGGAGAGGAGGTCCCTGGAGAACGGGGGCCCCAAGCACGTGCTTGGAATGCTTATACGTTAATCTGCCACCGATTTATAATATTCGAAAAAATTAATTTCTCTTAAAATTTTCACTAACTATGGCATGTTTCAGAAAAATAACGGTTTGTAAACCTGCACGTCTTTCCCACTTTAATCACAACTCTGTCTCCTTTTGTTTCCAAGATCCCTGTACTAAATATGGAAAAACACCGTCCGTATACTACTAATATCTTCAGAAATTCTATCACAATTTTTTCATCTAGATTTATGTCTGAACCTATGTTAAAACTAGAAACCTACTGTATTTGAAAATCATTAAAAATAAAAAAAGTATGACACTTAAAAAACCCCTGCAGCAATACAGCAATCAAGTCGTAATAGTTAAAAAATACAAATAAGTTCGTAATACCACATCACATTTTTCAACAGTATTTTATAGCTATTTTATAATTATTTGAACTTCAATACAAAAGCTGAAAATATAAATGGAATATACTACTATACTCTTATACAGATCTGGACAAAATACTTTTAAAATGTATTTAAAGTACAAATTACAAAATACTAGTACGAAAGTATTTAAAATACTTAAAAACAAAATTCTTTGGCAGAGTATTTTCAATATAAATTACTTACTATTTAAAATAGTATTTTAAGTATATTGAAAATATTCATTAACAGTGTTTAAAATATTTTTGTGAAATATTAAATCTGAAACTCTTAAGATGTGACTTAAAAAAATAAATTGTATGTGTAATGTAGGCCCGATTTCAAGTTAATCAAAAAATTTAAAAAGAAAACTAAACATGATAGTCTGGAAACAATCATTTTCATCTGGATTACAGAAATACAGAATATTTAATTCGCTCACAATTTTTTATTAATTTTTCTTAGCCCACTAATATGATAAAAGTGATGATAGTGACCTAAAAGGTAGTAGACAGAATAGCCATGGGCGTAGTTAGGATTTTTGCGTGGGGTGGGTCCAGGGCCTTTAAAAAAAACCTTACACAATCAGCGACTTACCGATGTAAAATCTCAAAACATAAAGACTCTCGTTTGATTATAAAAAAAGGCCGCGCCGCACAGTCAGCGACTTACCTATATGAGAAACATGACATTATTGGATCTTTTTTTCTGGGGTGGACTGTGCACACCTCTGCCTCCCCCCCATGAGAATAGCAATAACACAACGCACATTGCAGAATGCAGAGTAGAATGCGCTAAATCCAGGCGTGCAGGTGCGTAATTTTTCTTAGCACTTGTACCAGTCGCTAGGTTCGAGTATTTTAAATACTCAATGGTATTTAAATTACTTTTAGAAGATTTTAAATACTTTTTTAAAATACAAAATACTTTATTAAAGTATTTGTAATACAAAATATTTTTTGGGGTTATACCAAAAGTATTTTAATTACAAAATACCTACTATTTTATATTTAAAATAGTATTTGGTATTTTTTTGTCAAAATACCCCCAGCTCTGCTCTTATTTGTTATGTTTTTTACCAATGTATTTTATCAGTCTGTTTAAAAAAATTTTAGTTCCTGATTAGTTAGCTCCACAGAACTGACCACACTGTAATATTAAAAAACACTATCTATATCATACACTGTACTACATAATACTTTGAAAATTAGTGATATTTAAAAGTCAGTTGTCAGTTAATAATATTTAAACATTAATGATTGTGTAATTTATAAAACTTTTAATAAACGAGTAAAATGACTTAATATTGCTTTTAGGTACCCCACGTGATTCGTTCTTTAACACCAAATAAAATATTGCAACTTCGTCAACAAACACAAATCTTGTGGGATCGATATTTTTCATCAATAGAAAAAATTGTATTTACAACTTTAGAAATAATACGCCAAAGACTTCCAAAACAACCAATCCGTGATGGGACAATATGGAATAATTTTCCTGGAGCACTAGTAACATTATCACAGTTTTCAGATTTTGAGGATGATTTTCCGTTTCATTTAGAAAAAGAGGAAAATATAGGGTTTACCGCTGTTATATACTGCCAATTAGGTCTCCCTTTGGTTAGCAACTCGCCACTCTACCGTTTGGTAAATCACGTTGGTCGAAGTAAATATGTTTCTAAAATTTTAATTGTCTGGTCTAGTGAGAAACGATCACTTAGTAAAAATCGTTGGCCAAGTTTACCAGTTCATGTTCCATTACACATTATTCAACCTGCTGTGAATTCTAACAGTGGTAATGAACAAACGAAATTGAGTATTTCGCAACGATTTTTTAATCATAAAGAAATACAAACAGAAGCAATATTATCTCTAGATGAAGATACTGTCTTAACTACAGATGAAATAGACTTTGCCTTTATTGTGTGGAAACAGTTTCCAGATCGTATTGTTGGGTATCCAGGAAGGTCTCATTATTGGGATGATTCAAAATCAACTTGGGGTTACACCTCTAAATGGACCAATGATTACTCTATTGTTTTAACAGGGGCAGCTTTTTATCATAAATATTATAACCATTTGTATACTGAATGGTTAAGCCCATTATTACATAAGACAGTTGAACAGAGTCAAAACTGTGAAGACATTTTGATGAATTTTTTAATTAGTCATGTGACTCGACGACCTCCTATAAAGGTTACACAAAGAAAACAATACAAAGAACAACCTAGTGCTGGTACTTGGTCTCCGTGGAATGATCCTGATCATTTTATCCAAAGGCAGACCTGCTTAAATACTTTTGCGGCAGTATTTGGATACATGCCATTATTGCGGTCGAACTTACGATTAGACCCAGTACTGTTCAAGGATCCTGTTTCGAATAAAAGAAAAAAATACCGTAGAATCGAATTAGTGGGTAGTTAATACAATATTTGTATCTAAACTTTTCAATATACCATGTATCAATTTTATATCATGTATTACAATATTAAAGGATATGAAATTGCAAATTATACAGAAACAACATATTTTTTTATTATACTTAACCTTGCTACAAATAATAATGATAACCATTATAATTATATGTAATTATGATAATAATAATATTTTTTGACCAAAATATAATAAAAAAATACTCGGAAAAAAAAGAAAAATATCAAGAACTGACAATAGAAATAAGAAGACATTTGGAAAGAAAAAAATTGATTTTTATTAACAATCTGCATTTTTGTCAAATTTTTAATTTAAATGAAAATTAAGTAAGAATATGTAAAAAATTAAAAATCGGTAAAATCTGAAATTCGTTCACAATCCGGGAGTGGTTGGTTCTGATGTTGCGCCACATTGGTGAGCCATGTTTACGATTCGGTAGTGTGGCCTCACGATGAAGAGCAGTTAAATTTCCGACGGCGCTCCCGCCGAGCAGCGCACAAGCTGTTTTGAATCTATACTCCGCGGTCGAAATTATAGAGAGTGATTCAGACATAATATAAAAACACTATTACCATAATCTGTATAAAATATAAAATGATTTTTATACGGTTCGATATTATTTATCTTTGTGCCGCTCGCTATGCACATCGACAGAATCTATAATCGTCTATAGACTGAGTTACACTGAACGTCGATCTATATTCTATCTCTGTCTTTTGCACTTGGTAGGGAGTAGGGAAATTCTTTTTTAGTGGGTGTAAACGGACTTGATTTATCCGTCCTGAGAAACGTCATAGCATAAGCGTAGACGAGGGGTCTAATTCCATGGNTGTTCAAAATTTTATCCACCAATGTGTAAACACATTTGGGTCCGTTGTACTCAGTTTCTACGAACTAACACAAATGTTGTCTTGTTTCACCATAACACAAATGATAAATTAAAACGATATCCATCAACTCCGAGTACACGCAAACTATTTTTGACACTAACTACTAAAAACCTATCGTAAACACCACAGATAACAGGTAAATATCGCAACGACGATTGCAAAATCCGAATTCAGTATTCGGAGTCGCTGAGGCCACGTGGCGAATGACGCTACAGACTACAGTTGTCCAGCTATGTAGTGGTTGAATGTACTATAACTTCAATATTTTTTTTCTCAGAAACTAAGGATTTTACAAACATTTTTTTTACGATATTGATTCCATTTCTCATGCTGCATCTATTCCCAAATTTTTTTAGATAAGTTGAATCACCTATATTTTTTATGATTCCTAGTGCCATTGCAATTTAGTTCCTGAAAGCAATATTTGGAGGCCTATATCTGAGTGGGCATCGACATTTGAATAAGAATAGATTGGTTTAAATTATAAAAAAGTTCAATAAAGGCACAAATTTGGCAAAAGGTTTAAGTGTAGTAGCCAGTGGCGTCTCGTTCGGGTGGGCAGGGTGGTCAGTACCTACCCTGATAATTGCAGAAAAATTAAAGAAAAATGTGCATACATATACCAAAGTAATTTGACCTAATTTTATAAAATTAAATCTACACTGCATTACCTCCTAACTACTCCCGCTACCAAATTTTAAAATTATAATTTAATTATGATCTCAGCAGCAACCAACATTACATTCGGGCTGGCCCGTAGCCGCTGAACTAAACGACGCCGTCCCTTGCCTGCTTATACGTACCTATGACTAGAGAGTAATCGGAAACGTAAGTGGTTTACCAATTCAGAATATTTGCGCCACGCCGGGCAAGCTCGAATATGCCCGTCGAGTGCTGTATCGGCTAAGGCCAGCTAATAGTCCGGGAGCCAGCTGCAGAATTCGTTGAGTTATTTTCTAGATAAAAAAATTGAGTTTACATGACAGTTTTTACCCCAACTAAGGTCAGGCAGTGATATGAAACTCCTAGAGCGGTAATGGTGGGTACCACCCTACCCTCCAACGCGTATGGATATTAAAAAAATTTTGAAAACTTTAAATGGACCAAACTCAAGAATAAGGCATTTGATGCTGTGTTTAGTCGATTAAAGCTAGTCAGCTGGCTCATTGATGGTAATTAGTACGTCAGCTGACCGTCAGAACAGGTGAGATGAAAAAATAATTGAAAATTATTTTTTTTATGTACTGAAATTAAAATATATTGCAACTTATAGTGCATATAGGGACATAAAAATAGTCAGCTGGCCAATCGTTGGTAATAAGATCGTCAGCGGAGGCAGTCAAACCCCTTGCGGCAGCGAGCTCGTGAGAACATCGAATGATATGTTTTTCGCATTAACTGACTACTCTTTTGCCCATGAACCGCCAGCTGACAATGTTTATTGCTTTGTATACACAATAAACTATCGTTTGGACCCATTTTTGACTGATAAAAAATTTTTTCCTGCAAAATACGAGCAAAAGATACCTCATGTTACGTTGCGGCCAGCGGATTTATCTATGTTTCTCTCGACTGACGGACTTTTTTCCCCGACGACTGCCAACTGACAATATTTTTTGCTTTGTATACGCAATAAACTATCGCTTGAACCCATTTTAGATTGATAAAAAAAAATTTCCTGCAAAATACGAGCAAAAGATCCCTCATGTTACGTTGCAACCAGCGGAGTTACCTGTATATTTCTCTCGACGAACGGACTTTTTTTACCCATGTACTGATATTTGACGAAATTTTTTCATTTGAGCACATAATATGCTATCATTTAAACCCGTTTTAGCTACTCAAAATTTTTGCATAACCTTGTAATTACGTGAATATTCATGACTGTGCATCGGTCTGATTCGCGTCTTAA